AGGGGTTTAGCACTACACTCTGTAAGCCCCCAGCGTTCTCTATGCACTTTATGCTAAATGAACTCCAGGGACAGAGCCATGGAGGTAAGTGTCCGTGACAAGACGTTTTGGGGTCAGACCGGAAATTGCAATGAACATCCCCGTTGAAGACAATCAACTGCTGTAGTATAAGTACGCGTAATATTCATTCAACCAACGATTTGAAAGTCACAAAGGACGCAGCGCTGAAGTTGCCGAAAGTGTTAGCATTCGGAGACACTGTTGCCCTGCAGATAATGACTCAGTAGGAGAGGAAGACTGTGACGATTTTGCGGCCCACAAAGGTAGAAGAACCGCAACCGTTCTCACAGTACCCTCGCGAGGACTGGGGATTATCCGCTCAATTCTTATTTCGACGAAATTGACGGCCATAATCACGAAATTTCGAAAAAAAACCTTGTACCTGAAGCTATCTTGGTAAAAAATACTGAAAATCACACCTGTTATAAATTAAATTAGGTTTTGACTTATCACAGGAGCAATAACAGGCGAAGCTCGTGCTGCGACCTTAGCGATGGAGACAGTGGGGTCAATGAGTTCGGGCAACGATGCGAATAAGACCCCTCCGGCTACATTGCGATGCCCTGCATAGCTAAGCGTGTAGTAAACACAATCATTGTTAGGTGGCCGGGTGCGGCGCGACAAATGTTAATTCATAGCTATTCTGTTGAATTTCACGCTTCAAGGGGTCTACTTGAATAAAAATGAAAACACGAAGAAACCCATTTCTTTCAAAAAACTGCTTGTGCTAGAGAAGTTGAACAAGGCGTCTGTCTATGAGGAAGTATTACTAGGTGCAGAAAAGGACTATAACCAAGGACAGGTCTTTGTAAAGAGCAGATGACAAGTTCAGAGATGGCAATTGAACAGGCTTAGTAAGTGAATTTTTGGACTGCGAAGTCTCTTATCGTCTGAAAAAGGGCTTTCTCACTATGGTTTGAACTGATCACATCTGGGTCTGATTTTTTCTTTGACGCTACGTTCATTTTGCCACTATGGATAACAACTTAAGTGTAACATGACGGTTTCTAGAAGTTTGATCATCACAAAGAAGAATCATAGAAGTGCCCTTTTAGAATGATAGAACCAAAGAAATGTTTCAATAAAAACCCAAACTACCGCTCTAACTTCCCCAGGTTTAAATGGAAAAGCACCTCTGTGAACATACGACGAAAATAGGAAGTTAGCATTCTAGAGGAGCTAGAAAGCAATTAGTAGTTGGCTCGGTAGATGACTGCCAAACGCCAAAAAGCCACAGCATATTAAGCGAGAAAACGACCCGAACTAGTCTGAGTCATCTCCGCAGGAGTTGAAAAGTTGGCAGTTGGGGGTTAATGTTGGAGGCGCGGGCAAGCAGTAGCTCGGGTAGGAATTGGATAAGAGCAAAGAAGACCTATGAAACACTGGTTTCACTATCTCTTTCGCCACTTATCGTATACAAAAAGTACGGGAAATAGACAATGGGTTTAGTGACGGGCCTAGCCATAAATCTGCATCCACAAATGTTATGTCAGGGCTGACTCTATTCTGCTGGTCAGATCAGACTCCAACTAATTTTTTCGGGATGTAAAACGACTCAATGTTCGTCTTTTTTCGTCTGCCAACCGAAGCGGTTATCAGATGTGGTTACTGTGGTCAATCCAGCTTCATGGAACTGCGAACGAGAACGGAGTGCCAGTGCCAGTCAAAGTGGGCCTTGACTTGTCCTACTTACTTTACGTTAGCCGGACTTTCACTCAGTGACTAATGAGACAAACATTTCTGATCGCATACTACAGGATGACAAAAGCACTTTAGTGAATTAACTACGCTCACCTCTTTCATTCGCTGACGTAAAATTTCCGTACATTGGTTGGTCCAACCGCGATGTGAATGTGGATCCTTCAGCAGGCCGTGATTGATTGGGGCTGTCTTCAGTCCATCCAGTTCATAGAGGTATCGACCAATGGGTAGGAAACAGACAAAGTGGAAGGTGTCCGCAGTCGTGGCCGAATCGACAGCTGAAAAAGAGGAACTGCCGGGAGAGGAAGAGAGTGAAGCGGATAGCACTGATGGCGCCACAACTGAATCGTGACAGTTGACGGAAA